TGATGGAATTCGCACTTAGATAGTTTGGCAAACAGTTTATTCTCATACAGAGTCTGGAGGACCTCCCACACTAATTTCACGTGGGACTCCTTATCTTTTGAATATAAAAGGATATCATCCAGAAAAACTAGAGCCCCCCTAAACAAGTGCTTGTGCAAAACGTCATTTATTAAGTTCATGAACACTCCCAGGGCTCCTTGCAACCCAAATGGCATCACCAAGTACTCGAACTTACCCAGAGGGGTATCAAAAGCCGTTTTGGTTGATCTCCCTCCCAGATGCGCACCCAGAAATATGCGTCTCTCAGGTCCAATTTGGTAAAAATCTTTCCCTTCACCGCCTCTACCGGAAGGTCCTTAATGACAGGTAAGGGATAAGCGTTTGTGGCGGACATGGCATTTAACCCTCGATAGTCCATGCAGTCTCAAATCCCCATCTTTCTTTTTCCTGAAGAGTACAGGAGCCACAAATGGGGAGGAGGTGGGGCAAATAAAACCCCAGGCTAAGTTTTTGTCGATGAACTCCTGTAACTCCCCCTTCTTGGCTGGGCCCAAAGAATATAGCTTTCCTTTTGGCAACTTATGTCCTGGCAAAATCTCAACAGCACAGTCAGTATTGCAATGGGGGGATAGCTCATCGGCGTCTTCCTTCTCGAACACTCAGATCAAGTCTCTGTACTCCACTGGGATGGAGTTTAACTCCTTGTTAGCCAGACAAGCATGGACCACCAGGGCTTGGGGCACCTCTCCCCACTCAGGGTCCCACTCATGGGTTTTGCACCCGGGATCCACAAAGTGCACTAACCCATCACTCCATTTGATATATGGGTTATGAGCTCCTAGCCAAGGGCTTCCTAGCACCATGGAGAAGCAGGCCATAGGGTTGATTATGAAAGCCCATGGGTCCCAGTGGGTCCCCGTTCCCATAATTAGAGGCACTGTCTGATATTTACAGGGCTCCTTCATGGAGGAGCCATCCATCTGTGTAAAAATTAACGGCTCGGGCAGCTTTTGCACTGGGACTCCCAGTCCTGTGACTATAGAAGGACTTATTAGGTCTCTGGCACATCCCAAGTGCTCTTACCCACACCTGGGTCCCCATTTCAGGGTTGATCACTGACACAGTCATGAAAAACAAAGGGAGAGTGCTGCTCACCAGTTGCGGCGCTGGTTGTTTTCAGACCCGCTGTTTTGCACCCGTTACAGCAGGTCCTGGCTTTTTCCCGCCGGCTGGGGGTTCTCGTTCTCCACTGGATGAAGTCCCATCAGGGGAACCTCCCAAATGAAGAGCCTTCAGTTGTTTGGGTCGAGTGGTTCCCCCCTTTGTAGGGGTCTCAGTGCTCCGATGCTCTGCTGGCTTGTTCCCAAAAGGGGTGAGAATGGTGGGGCAGAAAGCAGCATAGTGCCCTGACTCTCCACAATGAAGGCAAAGCCCCTGCTGCTTCTGTTGATCATGCAACGGCTCCTTCGGCTTGGGGCAGGAGGCTTTCGGGATCACCCCTGGCGTCTTCAGGTAGACTTTTGGGGTGAACATCTTAATCATCTGAAGGCGATTTTTGGCGTCGCCTGCCTCTCTGATCCAGGCCATCAAAGAGATGGGGTTCACACTGCTCAGCACAGTCTCCAGGATCTGGTGGTTCAACCCCAAACGATACTTCTCCACAAGCATGCCCTCCAGCCATCCCTGGATTTTGGCTGCATACATTTTGAATTCATCAGAATACTCATGCACCAACTGATTCCCTTGTTTCAGGGCTCGCAGGTTGGGGTCCTCGTACTGCCTCCTCAGGGCCCACATAAACGCCTGCACCTCTCGGAGCTTGGCCCCGCGTAGGTTGTGCAAGCCCATATACCAGTTAGCCACTAGTTCCCTCAGCCTGGACCCGATGTAATCCACTCAGTGCTCATCGGACAGGAAGAGATGGCCCCAGTCCCGCAGGAACTTCCGCACCTGCAGCAGGAAGAAGGCAAGTTTCTCAGGGTTGCTGTCAAAGGTAGCATCCAACAACTCTTTGGGGCGTTCGAGCCCTGGGACCCCTGGAGCAGCCAGGGCCCCGAGTACTGGCCCAGACAGACCAGCGGGGACCCCCAGTTCCATGGGTATTGGCACCAGCACCGGCAGTGCCCGCCCTGGAGGTGCTTGCTGAGCCGGCGGGGCCTGACCCACCGGGGGAACCACTGGCCTGGCAGGTTGCTGTAGTCACAGCTCGTGCTGAACCGTGGTAGCAATGAGATGAGGTACGCTGAGCATCATCTCCTGCATCTCTCTTCGCATCTCCTTGTGTTGGGCTTACAGCTGGCACCTCATCCATTCCAGCTGATTGTCAGCCCCACTGCCATACCTCCCTGACTCAGCTCCAGTCTCTTGGTAGGGAAGAT